GAACCCACAACATAGCATCTGGCAACAAGGATGGGATCCTTTGCTGACAAGACACCCCTAGATTGTGGGATACCATTCTGAGACCAGGCTGTGTGTGAGACCAGAGGGAAGGTTTTTTTCCTTATTATTATTTTCTCACTAATACAGCTGATGTTAGTTAAAATGGCTGCATTGGTTCACATAGAAGAATCTGATGTGAGCCAGCTGACTTCTTGGGACTCTTATGCTGAGAGGCTATCCTATTACCTGGAAGCCAACAGAGTGGAAAATCCAGCACAGAAGCACGCGATCCTTGTGACAGTCTGTGGTGCTAAAACATTTGCCATTGTTCGTTCCCTCACAGCACCTGCCTTACCAAACGCTAAATCTTATGCTGAACTAATTGCCCTGCCAAAGGCACATTTTTGCCCAAGGCCATCTGTTACCCTGCAGAGATTTCATTTTTTTTTTTAAACGGAACCGAAAGGCCAACAAAGGCATAGCAGATTTCCTGGCTGAGCTCCATCGCCTTGCCGAATTTTGTGAGTTTGGGGATCTCCTGGATGGCCTGCTTTACGACCGTCTTATTTGTGGGGTTCAAAATGAAACAATCCAATGTCGCCTGCTTTTTTAACCAAATTTGACCTTGCCTACTGCACAAGAAAAAGCCTTGGCAGATGAAGTAGCATCCCATAATGTGAGAGAAATTTGCCAGGCGTTCTCCAGCAATGTCCACTTACTCCAAAAAGATCAAGAATCAAATCATCACCAGCAAATTCAGTGGATTATACCCTCACCAGCAGCACCACGCAAGCCAGTTAATCCACAGATGTGTTTGAGTTGTGGCAGCCAACACAGATGAAGGGAGTGCAGGTTTAGGTACACGGAGTGTCATGCCTACAAGAAGAAGGGCCGCATAGAGAGGGTTTGCCACTTGAAGGCCAATGCCGGGAGACAAAAAGACTGTGGCAAATGTATTCACTCCCAATCCACTCACAGATTACAATCCTCCTCAGGACGTGAGGTACAAAAACTATATTTGATTCAAAATGTTGGTGTTGTCGAAACTCAAGGTTCTGAGATGATTGCAACTATAGTAATAAATGGAGAGAAGTGCGAAATGGAAGTGGACTTGGGTTCAGGAGTATCCCTCATAGATGAAAACACATTCTTCCAGTTGTTTCAGGACTCTCTCCCCAAGTTAGTGAAAACTGAGTGTTGCCTGCGTGACTTCAATGGACAGATTGTGGAAACTTGTGGGTAGCTGCAGTGTCCATGTCCAGTATGGATCTGTTAGACAGCATCTATCCGTCTTTGTCACTAAGGGTTCTCGCAGAAGTCTTTTGGGGAGAAATTGGTTCTCACCATTCGGAATCAGTATTCAAGACGTACGCAGTCTCTGCACAGAAAGTCTGGAAAGGCTTGCAAGGGAGTTTCCCCAGGTATTCTCCGAGGAATTAGGAACTTACTCTGGTCCACCTGTGACATTCCAAATGGATCCTGCAATAGCCCCTATCTTTATGAAGGCCCAGAATGTACCTTTCGTACTGTGGCCAAAAATTGATACAGAATTAGATCGGCTTATCACGCAAGGGGTCCTCGAGCCAATCGTACATACAAGCTGGGCCACACCAATTGTTCCTGTTTTAAAACCTAACAGAAGTATTGGCATCTGTGGGGATTATAAGTGCACTGTTAATAAAACACTTAAGCAGGATCCGCACCCAGTGCCTCCCATTAACCAGTTACTGTCTGTTCTTGCAGGAGGGAAGATTTTTGCCAAACTTGACCGTGCTCAAGCCTATCAGCAATTGATAGTGGATGACAAGGCTGCTGAGGCCCAAACAATAATTACACACCGGGGAGCGTTCCATGTCAAGGACCTCCAGTTTGGAATTTCTGTGGCACCAGGTATTTTCCAGCGGTTCATGGAGAAAATGCTAGCAGGAATTCTCGGGGTTGTTCCATACTTTGATGATGTGTTGATCATGGGACCATCTAGAGAGAAACTCATTGAGAGACTCAAACTAAGTTTTACAGAGATTTGATAAAGCAGGTATCAGAGTAAAAAGAGAGAAATGTCAACTGGGAGTTTCCAGTATCAGCTTTCTGGGGTATCAAATTGATGCTTCTGGCATTCACCCATTTGAAGACAAGGTAAAAGCAATACATAATGCCCCTATACCAAAATGAAGACAGGATCTTCAAGCATTCTTAGAACTTCTCAACTTCTATCACATCTTTTTGAAAGACAAAGCCACCATAACAGAGCCCCTTCATTGCTTACTGGATAAAGTAGCTCAGTGGATGTGGACTTGCCAGCACAATAAAGCCTTCCAGGGCATCAAGAAGTTGCTGACTTCAGACTCTGTCCTTGTTCACTGTGATGAGCAGAAGCCTCTGTCCATTACTTGTGATGCCTTGCCGTTTGGTGCCAGTGCTGTCCTCAGTCACACCTTGCTTGATGGCATAGACGCACCCGTTGCTTTTTACTCAAGAACAATGACTTCAGCTGAGAGGAATTATGTACAGATTGATAAAGAAGCATTGGCAATCATTGCAGGAGTTAAAAAATGTCACAATTATGTTTATGGCCACAAATTCAAAATCTGAACAGACCACAAACCCCTTCTTGGAATTTTTACTACGGACAAACCAACTCCTCCCATTTTGTCTTCTTGTATGCAACACTGAAGCATCATGCTAAACGCACATGACTATACACTCATGTACAAACCTGGGAAAACAATTGCAGATGCTGATGCATTGAGCCGCCTACCACTACAAATACCTGATTGTGCTACTCCTCCGCCAGTGGAAGTCCTCATGCTGGAATCCATGCCAGAAGCCCCTCTTCAAGCTGATCAGATAGCAAGGATGACTGCAAAAGACCCTATCCTTGCCCGTGTCCTCAACTGGGTGTGGAGGGGCTGGCCTGCAGACAAATTGGCTGAGGAATTCACGCCATTTTCATCACGTCAGCATGAGTTGCCTCTTGTGGGGAAATCATGTCGTAATTCCAGAAGCAGGATCCCAAATCATACTGACAACGCTGCACGCAGCACACCCAGGCATTGTGAGGATAAAAGTTCTGGCTAGAAGTTATGTATGGTGGCCAGGTATGGACAATGACATAGAAAGGGTTGTGAGGGAGTGCAGCATTTGTCAAGCAACCCGTCATAATCCACCGAAGGCACTGTATTGCCTTGGGAAATGACACAGGAACCCTGGTCATGCATCTACATTGATTTTGCTGGCCCTTTTCAAGGTAAGAATTTCTTAATTGTTGTTGACTCATGCTCAAAATGGCTTGAAGTGATTACTGTCTCGACTCTTACATCAACTGCCACTATAACAGCTCTCTGTCAGCTGTTTGCAACTCACAGGGTGTCTGACACTATCGTTTCTGATAATGGCAGTGCATTCACCTCAGCAGAGTTCCAAGACTTTGCCAGCCGCAACCTCATTCAAACTGTTACCATTGCACCTCGCAGGCCACAGGCCAATGGGCAAGCTGAGCGAATGGTGCAGACTACAAAAGATGCACTGAAAAGGATTGTTGTAGGAGACTAGCCTACCAGACTGGCCACATTTCTGTTTGCTCAACATGTAATTCCTTGCCCTACAACAGGGTCCAGCCCAGCAGAGCTTCTTATGGGCTGTCGTTTCAAGACATGCCTTGACTGTATTAACCCAGACCTTGTAAGAGACATGCAGTTTAGGAAAGAAAAGGAGCTGGACTCTGCATTGGCATCTGGTACCTTACGTCTTTTCGTTCCACAAGAAACTGTGTTTGCTCGGTGCTACGGGACAGGCCCAAAGTGGTTCAATCTAAAATTGTAAGCACCACAGGACCTGTATCATACACAGTCCAGACTGATGATGAACAAGTTTGGAGACGCCACGTGGACCAGCTGCGTGGGCGTTCTTCTACTAATAACCCTATACCTGAGCAATCTCCAAGCACCAATCTACCACCAACGGACATGGATTCGTTGGAGAAGTGCTTACCTGTTTCCACCAGTGCAAACCCTTTGCCATCGCTGTCAAAAGGAAGCGTTGCCGCTGAGTCTCCAGATAGGCTGACAGGGCTGTCATTTGCTGAACCCCTCGCTGAGTCTGGTTCTATGGGAAGACCATAGTGGAAGCGGAGTCCTCCCAAATGGTTGGCTGACTATTCTGTCTGGGGGGGAGGGGTGTTGTGTCTTATTGTGTTTTCCTTGTACTGTCCCTTTAAGGCCAAAGCCCTTCTGGTCAGCACTGCAGGGTTCACTTGTTTCTGGCAGTTTTGCAGCACTGGGGACTCCATGTTCTCTGTCCTGAGGAGCCAGAGGCATCCTTGGTTCCTCTCCCTCCGCAGGACTGGAGCGGGTCAAGTGAGAGGCAGAGCAGGTATAAGATCTGTATGCGTATACTGATGCAGTTGTTAAGATCCACCCTGGATATGATTACAGAGAGTTATAATAATAAATAACTGTTAGTTCAGTGCAGCAGTGTCCAGAGTGTTGTTGCTGAACCCACAACATATCAGATCCCTTGTAAGCAAGTCTGCCAAGGTCTCTCAGCCTTTTCCTGGGGTCTGTGCAAGCCCTGGCACTGAGTGTTAGGTGTTTGGTGGAAAATAAAAATCTGCTTGGGAATTTCCCCAGTAGGGCTTAGTGAGGAGTTCAGAGAGGACAGCAAAGGGAGCCCTAGGGGCTTACTGCTCACACGTACACACCTGAGCAATCGACTCTGCTTCCCCTGCCTCTCTGGAATTTTCTGCAGTTCCTGCAAGCACTTCCTCCCCGCCTCCCCAGCCTCCTTTGAGGGTCTGAGTTTCACAGGCGGCGCAGGGGTTTTTTCTCCTTCCCCCGTTCTGCTGTTTGCTCTCTGTAGAAACCCATCTCACCACTGTTTTTAAACCACTCGAAGGTGTTGGGGTTTTTCTGGGCTATTTTGAAGCTCGTTTTCCCAGATGCGTGTTTTTTTTCTTTTGAATGCAACTCTTCATCTAAAGTTTCCGCCCATGTGACTTTCAGCTTGCATCCCCCGTATATTCTGAGAAACCACAGAGGGCCAGAGCCTAAAGACACTGACATATTACTGCAGAGTGCAATTACTCTGAGAGAGGAGAGACACCGGGCAGGACCAGGGCGCACAGCAGAGAAAGTGATACTGGGCAAGGGAGAGCCACAGCCTGCCAAAGAGACAGGCTGGGGGACCGAGGCAAAGAGATTGCCCAGGGGAGAAAGAGGAGAACACAGGAGAGGGGAGAGTAAAAGCAGAAGACACCAGGAGTACAGAGGACAGAAAGGAAGCCAAAGAAGCCTTGGCAGAGGGAGGCAGGAGCCATGCCCCATAGCTCGGACAGCAGTGACTCCAGCAGCTTCAGCCAGTCTCCCCCACCCAGCAAGCAGGTAACATTTTGAATTGTTTGCTTCTGGGCTCTCCTCTTCAGTCAGCTCCTGGGGGGCAGAAAGCTGCTGGCATTGGAGGGGATCCTCAGTGAGGGCTAGAGACATGCATTCATCTACTGCACAGAGAGGCAGGGCTTTCTAGGAACCAGCCCAGGGAGAGGCACAGAGCTCTCTTGCAGGGGCAAGCTCCAGACCAGGGACATCAATCACTGAACAGAGCGAGAAGGAACCTCATTAGACCAGGGCACCTGAGGGCTTATGAACCCCCTGCTGCTGGATGTGGAGGCACAAGGCATCCAGCCAACTGGGAGACCCCTCAGGGGTCAGAGTCTGTCATGTGCTCTGAGCATGCCCTCCCCCCCATATAATTAAGATCTTTTGATGAATCTGAATCCTTCCTGCCTCCCTTGGAGGTTGTTGCCCCTGTCTGTCCAGGGCTGCTCTTTGTACATGCTCTGCTGTTAGCCCCCTTAAACTCTTCCTCAGTGAGTGGTGTGTGATGGAGGAGTCCTGTGAGTTGGCCTCTTCCATATATCTTTCCATCTGCCCTGTAGCATGCCTGCCATGGCCGGACACTAGCTTCATTTAACATGTATCCCCAGTATTTCTGGCCCCTCTGAATATTTGTAATTTTACCATACGTTATCTGCCAAGTGCCAACAACATGGCATAGGGCAGGAGAGTTGTCACCTTGAGGAACTCCCAGACAGGCCCTGGACAGACAGACCTGAGCTGGCACTCAGTGTGCTGGATGAGAGAGGGAAAGAAGGAAAGTAAGCAAGCACAAAGCAATCAAGGGAGAAGTATTCAAGAGGCATATTGGAACAGAGCTTGGTGTGGCAAGAGACCAGCCAGCGGACCTGCCAGAGGTGGGGTTAGGAAGGCCCTGAAGGGAAGGGCAAGAAGTTGAACTGTGATGAAATGGAAAGATCACAAGGTGTGGGGTAGAAGGATGTGGACAGATTGGTAGGCCAGAGAGAGCTTTAGTGGTGGCATTTCCCTGGCGAGAGGGAGGGGGCGGGGTAGATGTCAGTGAGCCCAGTGAGGCATCAATGCCAGTATCTGGGGAGGAGATGAAAGGGTCTGGAGGGAGTTCTAGCTGTCAGGGAGGATGACAGCTCAGCAGAGGATTGCTGCTGTGAGAGGCTCATGTCCCAGGCCAGGAAAAGAGCTGTATCTGTGTAACTGGTGCAGATATGACCTGGAATATTGCAGCCAGCTCTGAGCCTTATGTGATCAATGATGAGAGACTAAAATACAGGGAGCTCAGAGAAAGCAGCTGCAACAATTAGGAGGCCTGGAGGGACCAAGTTCTGGGAAAAGATGAAAAAGTTGAGCTTATCTAGCAGGGCTGAGCGGTGGCTCTCCTGGGGCTAGAGAAGTTGAGCTGGTAGTTTTGTTTGGTCTCTCACTGTTGTGGTTCTTCAGACCTGAACCATGGAGCCTGTGATGGTTCATTCCCCTGTTCTGTCAGAACATGGAGAGTCATAGGCTTGCCCCAGGGTTGGGATGTCAAGAGCCTTGTACAGAAGAGGAGCACCCCAACCTGGTCTTAAGCTGATGCTGTGTGTCAGACGGGAGCGCATGTCCTGTGGAGCAGGGGAGAGGCTGGCGTGATCTCTGCTGAGAGGAATGTTGGCTCAGGGCTGTTTTGTGCTGCCCCCGCATCCCCGCCCCTGTGCTTTTGTGGGAGTGGAAGGGAGGCGATGCCCATGTCATTCCCAGGCTCTCTGTGTTTCAGGACTCTTCTGACGACATGAGGAAAGTCCAGAGACGGGAGAAGAACCGCATTGCTGCCCAGAAGAGCCGACAGAGGCAGACTCAGAAGGCAGACACGCTTCACTTGGTAAGAACCTCCCTTCTCAGCCTGTCCCAGATCACTGCATGCACACGTTACGGAATGTATTTCAGCACTAAGGAGTGCAGCAGAGTTCGGCTTCGGGCCTGGGCCACTGTAGGGTGCTACTGACAGCACTAGCAGTAGCTGGAGAGCGGGGGCTAGGTAGGTCTGCCAAGGGGCCAAAAGGTTTCTTTCCAGATGAACTGTGGGCACTGTTGGACATCTCCTCAGGGGATGCTCTCCTCTAGGCTCCCCCTCCTCAGTTTGTTGCACTCTTGTTTGTGCTCTGAGGGGCCTGTTGATGCCAATGGAAATTTTGCCATTTGCTTCAATAGCAGCAGAGTGGGGCCATTTTTCTGCCCTTTGCATCACTGCTGTGCCCTGACCAGATGCCTCGATTGAGCTACACGCAAAGGTCATGTTTTTCCCTGACATCTGCCTGTCTTTCCAAATTGTGTGCGCGCCCGTTGGGCCTGGCCACAACGAAGATCACCTGCCCATTTCCTCAGTGTGGTGGGGTCACTCCAATTCCACCTATGCACGTTCCCACCCCTTCCAGCTCCCCAACAAATACAGTGAACCGCCCTTTTGCTACATCTTGTGCCCCGTGGACCTCACTGTCATCTGTTTGTGCTGAAAATCACCCATGTAGGCCACCTTTTTACCCACTTTTTAATTCAGGTCTAGATTTTCACCTCTTATTCTGAAGTTGTCAGGTTACTTTTGTGGCCTCTCATGATAGATGCCGTCAATAATTCTTTAAAAGCCAGAAGAGTCAGGGCCAGACTCTTCTTGGCTTTGAACCTCATGCAATCACTCATCTCCACAGGAAGAGAGTACAGAATGCAACCAGTTTGACTCACTAGCATTTTATCTTCCCTTTGTCCTGGTGTAAATTGATGTTATAATGCACAGAACAGTACAGAATCAAGCTCTAGTGCTAGAAAAGCCCAGGTAGGTCTCCTTCAATCCATTTTCTGGGTCTGCATTGGCTAATAACCCATTGTAAGCTTATTAGTGTTTTGTCCAGTTTAATCTTAAACATCCCCAGTGGAGGGGCTGCCACCACTTCCCTTGGGAGACAATACCAGAGCTAAATACTTTGCAGTGTCTGGAGGCTTCCCTGACATCTGGCATAAATTCTTCCTCTGTTTCACTGTGTTACTTAGTTATGCTATCCCATCTCATCCCCCCATGCAGTGCCCTAGCAATGAAGTTTGGCGCCCAGGGCAAAGCCTGCAGTGGCAGCCTATCCTCTCCCCGTGCGCGGGTGGGCACTTGCCCACCTCCCATGCTTCCCTGGGAGTGCATGCAGTGGCAGGAGCTGCCCTTCCTTTGTTCCTGTGCCCCCCAAAATGAGCCACTTGCGGCTCCATCCCACAGCCCGCCCATGCTGGACAGTGCCTGTTGGCGCCCCTTTGCTTCTGTGCCTAGGGTGGTTGCCTTGCTCCCTCCCCACAATGGCACTGCCCCCATAGAACTGCCTCTGTGCAGCTCTGGGCAGGCAGCAAGGCCAGCAGTTAGGGAGCATGGTCATAGCGGAAGAGCCTGACTCCTCTTCTGTCTGTATTTTGATAAGTGAAATCTTATGTGCATATGAGAGATGCTGCCTCATCCTTCTAA